CAGTTGTACGAGTGTGATGAGCCTAGCTATGGATAAGTTGTGTGCTCTGCTGAGCACAACGTGAGTTGAAGGCATAAATTTGAAATTTACTCTTTTGAGCTGCAAGGAAAAAGCCACGGTTGAACGTCAATCCCCGAATTCGTTGGGAGCACGATCCCAGAATAACATAATCCAAAGATAGAATGAGAATAAAGGAGGCGGTGGACAGTACGTTGTGGTTATAAAAAACCTGCAATCGCCACGCAAAGTGGTCATTGGCTACCCCAGCCATGTATTGTTTGGAATAAAACTATTAAAAACTAAACACCACACTGAGGAATTGCAAAACAAACTGATTAAGAAAATCGTTGCGACGGGGTAGAAATGCAAGAATGTATACCGAGATGAATTGTGCTGAGCCAAAACAATAGGCAAAGAACACAGAGAAGCACACCAAACTATAGAGCATGATTAAATGTGCACAATCAGTGAGTTACTGCGGGCAAACAAATTCATACTGTGGTTGCTGGGCGGATTCGACAACACCATAAGCATCACTTTTGGTGAGGGAACTCTCCGCAATATCAGCGTCTTCATAGGCTGCATTTTGTGTTTGACCTGGATCTTCGGTCTTTACTGGTTTTCCTTGTATCTTACGATGGACTATTATGGCTACCAAAGTTGTTGCTATTATCCCGATAACGATTCCTCCAACAACACCGCCGATCACAGTCCCAAGTGCGCATGACGTCCGGGTTTGATGTTCCGCTGTAGGTGAGAGAACACAGCACATTTTACGTTCCAACATCTACACATACTGTACGTGCATTATAACCACAATTTTTGGATGCCTGAACACAGTTCTAGAATCTATGGTTTAAGATCACAATGTATAGATTTTGAAGTGAAAAAAACATGTCATGGAAACTGCATGGAAAATCTGAACATGCTTTGTTCATATTTTGCGCTCGACTTGTAGAGAACTGTTGGAATACACACCTGGCAAAATGGTGATGCAGACATGCCTTCCGCCAACTTAATAATAGAGTAAAGAGTATAGAGTATTCTATATTTCCACCATGACCAAGGCCAATTAGGAAGATAATTATGATCGGGTTCCCCAGGATGTTGACCGATTTTTGAGAACCACACAAAAATGACAGTGGATGCGCTTTGCTTGATGTTTAATGTTCCTGGCTGCCTCTTTGTGTTGACTTACCGCATAGAGAAGGCCCGGCTAAAGGGTCGGATAATGCACCTGTCTCATTGCCCTCAAAGGAAGGTACACCTTCCAGGCTTACCATGCGATACTGTCATCCGCGCCTATAACCAGGCTATTCGGTGGCAACAAAATCTTCTTAATCTGCTCAATGGGGCTACCAAGCAAGATTTTTGTTAAGGTGCTCTCTACGGAACTATGGAAATTCAATTGAGGGTTATTTCTTGTATAGGCTCTTCATACTATTCTCTTCATTACTAAAACGTGTAGGGCGTTCCACTGCAGCCAAGCCCAAGGATATACCTCATTTCTTGTTGGATGAGAGCAACGAAGTAAACAAGAAATGCTGTTCTTTTCGAAACGCGAGTGCACAGTCCAGAGTTCACGGACTGTGCTGGGAGTGCGGTACGCACTGGCTGCACAGTGCGGAGTTGCAGCATGCACATGAAGGTGCATGCTGGTCTGAAGACAGTGTTCTTTTTGTTCTTGCACTGCTGCTGTACAGTTGGGAATTTTCGCTGCCTGGCCGAGTGCTTTTCTCTTCGTTTCTTTACTGTAATCTGTCTGATCATGCCTGGACGTGGACGATCCTCCACCCCAAGAGGCCGGAGCAGGTCCTCCAGGGGAGGTAGTTTGCCCGCCTCAGCAAGCAGACCTGAAGTAAGCAGCTCCGACAGTGGAGCCGAACCGAACGCCCAACTGCCGGAGCAGCAGTTGAGGATCGGCGCCCTAGAATCAGCGCTGGCCAAGGAACGGTCAAGCCGTCGTTGTCCCCCTGTTCGTCTCCGTCGCCATCCCCGTCTTCATTGTCATCTCCCGAGTCTCGCCGTCGTCGCAAAAAAATCAAAAAAGGCCAAACACTCGAGAAGTCGTTCCGTGTGTCCCCAGACAACCTCGTCGAGGCGGTGGAAGAACCCCTCGTACGAGAGACAGTACGAGACAAACGCTGCTGTGCTGGAAGAGCTCGGCGAAGTGCGTGCTGCTCTAGGGAAGAGGAAGGTGGACAGGGCAAGGCGAACCACCAAGCAAGGTGAGAACTTGTTGCGGGATAGGCAAGAGTGGCTGGTTATAGCAGATGCACACGGGCACGAGGCAGCCAAAATGTTTGCAGAGGGTGGCGAGATGCTGGGGATTGTCGGGTGCCCGCAGAAAAGGAAAAGGCTAATGGCAGCCATCCAATCCCCCCCTGCGCCAAAAGCCAAGCAACCCTTTCTCCCCCGCACTGCGTCCCAGTCGGCCAAGGGGTGGGGTGCCCACAATGCAAACTTGCATGCCACCATTGCGGCGAAACAGGCCACTACATTCGCGTGTGTCCCCGCCGGCAAGCAGCTAGCCAGCCGCAAAATGCCTGAACCCTGTGCAGCTGACGACTATGATATGTCATTTCAAAGCAATGAATTAGATGCTGAAACCTATTCTATGTTGCATAGCGTGGATGGAGAGTTCGGAGGGGACCGGGACAGGGTGGTCATTGGCAATCTAAAGAAAAACGTGCAGTTCTGGGAAGAAATCGGAGCACCAAAGCTAGTACTTGAGGCCATTTCAGATATGCGTTCTCGCGGTTGTATTAAAGAGGTTAACAGAGACCAAGTGTCAGTGTGTAGCCCGTTGGGAGTGGTGGATAATGGGAAGAAGCTGAGGCTTATTCTGGACCTAAGGTACCTCAACAAACACCTGGCTAAATTCAAGTTCAAACTGGAAGATTTGAAGGTGGTGGCAGATGTATATGAGAAGAACGATTTCTTGGCTACATTTGACTTGAAGAGTGGCTACCACCACATTGCTATAGCAGAAAGCCACTGGAGGTATCTTGGTTTCAGTTGGGTAACCCCCCAGGGAAAAGCAGCATACTATACGTTTTGTGTCTTGCCGTTTGGTTTGTCAACCGCCCTTACATTTTTACAAACGTAACCAGGGTGCTAGTGCGTCGTTGGAGGGCAATGGGTATACGTTGCCAACTGTACATGGACGATGGGTCGGGAGGACATGCTTCTAAGGCAGGTGCTCACAAGGTAGCAAATCAAATGAAGAAAGTTCTCCAAAACGCAGGATTTGTGGCTAATGAAAAGAAATGCCGTTGGGAGCCCTCTCAGGTTGTAGAGATGTTGGGTATGGTGGTTGACCTACGCGTTGGAGCCATCACAAAGCCTGGTGGCAAAGCTGCATACAGTACGTTTGGCAAGATTTGGAAAAGAGACTGCCATGATATCACCGATTATGAAACAACGTGTGCGGCAGATGTAGACATAACTAGATGTTCTACTACCAGTACCAGATAAAACTATCAATATCCTTTAACCCGGCATTGATCCGAGCTTCTTCACTACTTTGCACCTGCCTCTACCCATCACTCCGGCTGGCATATCCTCATACAGAGCCAAATACCTCTTCCAGCAGATCGTGAGCAACACCATCCACAGAACAAAGATAGAATGTGTCTATCTCCACAACAGGAAGATCCAATGCCATCATAAACCTTTCTTTTTGAAGATTATCACATACAGATTTATTCTGCAAAGTTTGGTTGCAATCATGCTGCTTGAACTCTCACAGCATTGGCTCCAAAATGTAGCATAAAATCCAGGATTTTTACTACTGTTCCTCAAAAAATTGTAGAAAAAGTGCAAAGAAATTGTCATTGTATCTAACTGAATATGTATGCAATCTACCTCAAACTTCACCAGAAGTTGAAGAAAGGGTCATGGGTCAACAATTCAGCACAAACTCAATTTCGCCTACATGTACATGGATTTGCCCAGTACATGTATCACTACGAAGAAGCTTGTTCACCAGGCGTTCACAAAGCCTGATGGCAAAGCTGCATACAGTACGTTTGGCAAGATTTGGAAAAGAGACTGCCATGATATCACCGATTATGAAACAAATTGCGCTAACAGGCCGTAGTCTAACAGTAAGCTGGCGCTTACAACTGCGACGTAGCACTCGCAGTCACACTGTTGCACAGCTATTGCGAGAAGGAGCAGTCTGATACGCCAGTTCTTGCCATGGATGACGTGGAACCAGTGGGCCGCACTGATTGAGTGGTTGGTGATAATCTGCGTCAGACACACGTTGCGCCTGCTGTGCAAAGTCCAGATGCGTTGCTTGTCAGGACTTGATACAGTAAACAGCCCTGGCGGGCCACGGATCCGCTGGCCCCCTAGTTTGGACTCTGGCGCATGGCGCATAATGTGTACTTGCTATCAAGGTGCTTCGACCCACTTACATGTTCCGCCACCTCCAGCGAGATCCAGTTGCGGTAGTCGTTGCGGAGACACGTCCACACACTTCACGTACAAAGAAAGACAGGGGATAGTTGCCATGGTTACCATGCACTAACCTTCAACGGCTAATTTCAGCACCTTCCATCACGTTTCGAGGGCCAAAAAATATATCGTTGAGCTCCTTGTGGTCCTCTCTACACGTTGAAAATCTCAAAAAGTTGTGCGCTCTCAACTGCAACGAAAGTAAACATTTTGGGCACCTGGCCCCCGTACTAGGAGCCCCAAGTTAAAGGGAAGGCTACATTTCACCGGCATGTATGGATAAACAGGAAGTGAGATGACTGCTACACCTTAGCTCAGTGGTTAGAGCATAGTTGGCCTCAAGCGAACATCCCTGGTTCGAGTCCTGGTGGTGAGTCTGGTTACAGTCAATGTTTTCTTCAGACTTTTCCCGTTTGTGTCTTTCCCTCAAAGCATTGAATAGCTGATTTAATACTTTTCATTTCAATACTACGGTTTTTTGTCTCCTCCACGATATTTTAAAATATTTGAGTACTGCTTTATACAACTTTCTATCCTCAATTCATTTGAGATTGTACGTTAGTTGTGGTGCAGGATTCACGTGTTGATCCAGGTGTTGATCCAGGTGTTAATCCAGGTGTTGATCCAGGTGTTGATCCAGGTGTTGATCCTGTTGTTGAATCAGGTGTTGATCCTGTTGTTGAATCAGTTGCTGAACTGACTGAAAAATCAAAAACGACCATGTACAGTAGCACACGACAATGGCATAACAATTAGATCTTCAGAGAAATAATCACCGTCCACAACACAGCCAGAGAGACTAACAGGTCCACCATTGGTTTTAAAGCTGTTCCTAAGTCCTTCAGTACGCATGTCCATGAATTTACCCTCCGAACCATCGACAAAGTTAGTGGCCGGTCAAAGTCGCAACAAGAACCTCAGGCATTGCTTCACCACCTCAGTAACACGTGAGGCTAAGTCGTGCCAGACGTTCGGCGTCCACATGACCGCTTACCTCCTCACGGGCTAAACGCCGAGTCAGGTCTTCTCGGCTTCCAACTATTTACCCCAGCCGACGTGAGGAAGCGGCTCTCCAGGTTGACGCAAACAAAGCTACGGGGACTGACGTTTGGAACCATAATTGGTCCTTATAATGCCCTCCTCCACACTTGCCCCTTCCTTGATTGACTTATTTGACGAGTCCTTGCGATCGGTGAAAGTGCCAGCTAAAATCAAGCACCCTTTTCAAAGTGGGGACATCGACCGTCGCCAGTACTTATAGTCCGAGAACTCTCCTAACGATCGTGTCCCGCCTGTTAAGCCTACAGTCCATTCAGAAAAATATGTACTTGTAGCTTTTGGCGCGATGCAAGGATCGACGGGAAGCAACAGGACGATCTGACGGCATCCAATGTGAACACTATGAACCTTACTACTGTGTGAATCGGGATGCGAATATAGCGTTAGACACTCTGAATACGTTGCCTCAGAATCCCACTGTTGTCGACTATGCCACACCCTAGCCGCCTTCCTTTCACCTACCGCTGGCTGAATATTCAATTTTCGAGGGTCGTGAAGTATTTGTCTTGTTTACTTAGCAGTTTTCAGATATGACGTTGGACGTCCGTGATGATTTGTCGGCTTTCGCTTGACGACTACTTTTCACCATATTTGTCACCACCCAGTACTCTTTTTGACGTGCTAACTTACGCAACCTACCCCTGTGTAACTCACCTGCTCATTGTGATCGACTTGCGATAGTTGTGTCAGGTAGGGTTCATTCTGCACCTCCATTCTACACTATGCCCTTTGTTTTGATTTATCACATAATGTGAGTTAGTTGAGTGTTCACACCTTGCGCCAGTATTTTACCAATATAGTGAAGGCAACGCAAGACGACAATGACTTTCTGACTGCGGAGCTGTTTCCCGCTTCTCGATTTGTGTTGATTTGCCACATTATGTGAGTTAGTTGAGTGTTGACAGGAAGAGGGATGGATCACTAAGCCAACCGAGTGTGCGTTCCTCACCGGGACCACCACCAGTACAGCTGACCTGGGATTGGTTTGGAGTCGGCAACAACGACAGTGCTGCCAATCACATAAACTGAACCCACTTCTTTGAAACAGGGTTGTGCGGGCGCAGCAGCTCACCGCAGCGCTTGAGCTGTTGGAACAGAGACAGGGGAGGTCCACTGCGAACAACTCAATAGAGATATATTCAAGTAATGGTCAAAAGCCGACACACAGCATCGAAGAAAAACATTTACCAGAAGCAAAACGAAACACGGAAACGCTGATGAGCTACGGACTGAGACATGGGGAAGGCGTAGCAGGGAGAACACAGATGGTATGAGACTGACTGGCGGTGCAGATGAGTTGGATGATGATACGGCAGATGAGGACAAGGTGGATGATGACAAGGCGGCGGATGACGAGGCGGCGGATGACGATGAGACGGTTGGTGGTGATTGCGAAGAGACAGACGTTATAAGGAGTCAGGTGGAAGGTAAGGTGACGAATCTTATGAGGGTTGTTAGCACGTCTGGATTGTAAGGCTGTGTATGACAATACCCAGTTCTCTGTACTATGTCGTGCTCATCATGTACAGCAGTTGGAGGTACTTGAAGCTGTTCGTATTCGTAAGCATAAGCCTGATTATTGTAATCAAAAAGAACATGTTGTAGCACTTTCGTTATTTTCGTGAGTCTACACGGCTTGTTCATGACTTTATTTCTGCACATTTCATGCCCATTTGTCACACTTACGTTCTAACTGTAGTTAAGACCTCACTTTGATATTACTTACGCCTTTTCTTGTCAGGCTTACTTGGATTTTAAGCCTTAGTTTTTTTTCGCTTCATCACTTTAGTTGCTACCAGGTTCGGCCTCGTGTTCTCTGTACTGCGCTGATGAGTCCTCAAGCACGAAACAGTTCTATCCGCAGAATGAGTTTATTCCGATATCTATAAGTTCTCAACCTCTATCAGGTTTGGCATAAGTTTCTCTGTGTTGGGTTGACGAGTCCAGAAATGATGAGACAGTGCTGTTCGGAGATTGAGTGCCGGTACTTCTAACATAAATAGCGCTATCGCTCTTGTCTAATTATTTTTGTTATTTTCTGTTTTTGCACGACATTGACCAATGGTACTGACGTTCTAGACCTAACTGGCAATAAGCTCTAACCCATCTCTGGAGCGCAGCCCAACAGCCTTCCAACTTGGAAGGTTTTAAGCTACTGAAATAAAATAAGGAGAGGAAGTTGAGCCCAACCAAGATAAGCACGACCTAAAAGTCTCAGCTGTGAAGGACGTTGGCGGATGTACATGTACGTCGACTACAATAGTGGCAAGACCTTGGACAATACTGTCAAACCAGGATTCAAGGACGGAAAGCAACTTTCCACACAACTTGTATGGCGCAAAGATGCGAAGATCAATTAAAGGGGAAGCTATGCGAACAGGGATCATGCAAAACCAAACGCCTTAATGAAACATTGATCTTTGGTTCCTTGGTCCTTCTTCTTTTCTATAAATGTATCCTTGGCTCTCCATCCGAGTGAAGTCTTGCACGCCTGATGAGAAGTCCTTATCCATACGGCGAAACAATCATCGTGTGAAACTGCTGCATGTTGTTCCTGCTTATTGTCCTTCTAAATTGTCATGGTCGACGTACAGCGCTGTTGTATTGAGGCGCTCGGTTTTCCTTTGTCCTTTTTCTTTCTATAACTTTATCCTTGGCTCTCCATCTGAGTGCATAGTGTGTTTAAAAAAATTAATGATTTGGTGCATTCAGTGCATTCAGTGCAGGTGCAGGGTAAGACACAAAAAAAACAGAATAGAACGCACCCGTAGTAGTAGCCGGATCCGTAGGAATAACTGCAAAATAAAATGGAAAATGCACACACGCACATATACCAGCACACATATACCAGCACCCAAAGGACATGCGTTATAGACAGAAATACATAAGATTACTACGTCTTTCTGTTTAATATTACAGGGTGCGACAGAGCTCTCGCTCTCGACCCATGAATAAAATGTTGATATCACCTCCACCATTACACTGCGCTCGAAACCAAATTAGCGCTAACTGTCACAGGATAAATCTAAAACATCAACAACATGGATAAGTGAGAAAATATCTGCCTAGGGCTGGCCAAACAAACCACGTTATACTACTTGAGCAATTTTAAATGAAGGACCTTACGTTGACATTTGCCCATGGTCCACTGGAGGTTTTGTCCACAAATACAGTTGACAGCTGCCATTCCCACAACATGATTACATTCCACCACGTTAGTGTCATTGCATTCCAAAATGCACCCTGGAGGGGAGAAATGATATATATTATAATATTAATAATGCAATGAATATAACTAAATGCGCACTCATATCACAACCATGGGGACGAATCATGTATTCCAGAACGTTTTCTTGTCACAATTTCGTCCCAATGGTTGTGATATGAGTGCGCATTTAGTTATATTCATTGCATTATTAAGATTATTGTATCCACGTCGCCTTATTATAATATTACCTTCGACTAGGTGAAGATGGGCGTCGGCTTCAGGTATCATCCTCCATGGAATTTTCCAGCTCCGCCAAGACTTGAACCCGAGACCTTGTTTGTCCCGAGCAATACTCTAACAGTGTAATCCATGGGACAAGGCCGAACTTAGAAGGCACAGACAGGATTTCACCCCAAAGGCCAAATGTGAATGTTTGTTTGCTTGGAAGAGATATTTTAAGCACTTGATATTCCTTAAATATTTTGTTTGTAATTGCATAACTGGTGTACTTCGAGGTAAAGACTTACTTTCACATAAAGGTTGCCTTGGTTGCCACCTTCCATTGCCCTGGCATGTAGACTGGGTTATTTCCATACTATTGTTAGACAAAAACCCTGTTATGCATTCGATGGATACTGTGGTACCTGGTAGTGTGTTGAAACTGGCAAAAGGTTTGTAATTGAACTTGCTGTTAGTGAGAGTAGGACATTGCACTGGGAAGAAAGAGGCAAGATTCAATGCAGTTACTCACAATAAGTGAACAGCCCACAACTAAAACCATTACTATGATGGTCCATAGAGAGAGAAGCAGACAATATTTTGGTAATTACACGGAACATGGGTGTACCCAGACCTGCTGCACTTGTCCATGTTCTGTTGAAAACTGTTGAAAACTAATTATTCACAGATTTCAATAGGACAAGTATAGGTGACAATTTGATGAAACCTGGAAAGCGAATAACAACCCGTGTTAACATGACAGGAAAACAACAACTTTGGAATTGGAGAGCACGCACGGTTTTGTAAGAAGTGTGCTCGGTGTGCGTGGCTAATTTTCATGGAGAGATTACCATCAGTACATTCACCCTAACGGTTATTGCATGGCTGGGAAGAAATTGTGGCTAGTTCAGTTATCCGACATGTTGAAGAAGGAGAAGGTGATGGAAGGTAAGGATTCTGAATAGCTTCAAGTGCAATGCCAGCAACCGAACAGCAGCAACAATTAGCAGCTAGTGCAGTGCCAGATGTTGCCTCACTTTGTTCAGTTCGTCCCTTGATGAATCCCCCTTGGCCACGCTCGTACGTGGCACAGGTGATAAAAAATATCTCGGTATGCCTGGAAAGTGGCCAGATGTTGTGCATTTCCCTTAGCACTCTCAACCATGTCAATTACTAGCTCTATACTCAACATACAATACGTGTGCACATCAGAACTGTGCATTGTGATCTGCATGCATATATGACATGTACATTTGGCTTCATAGTCAACTTAATATTTTCCAAATTTACCCTTGAAGTTTGATAACAGTCTACTTGAGGAACTTCAGCAAGCGGTATAATATAGTTTATGATAGATGTCTCTTGTTTGTACAAACCCAAAACACGACGGCATCAGTGAATCAGATGCGTGGGTCATGACGTATACATGCATGTCCTCAGACTCCTCACATACAACATACAACGGAGGCGAACGGCTGTGTAGCCCTTACAGCAAGTTTCACGGATTTCATCGATCACCAGACTGCAGTATTTGGCATTCACCCTGAATGCCATATGCTACTATTTGATAATCGCTGAATTGCGTGCAACTTGAAGTTACACCTACACACTGTGTGACATCATTTCGCCTCCGTTGTATGCTGCTCTGCCTCGAGCTGCCTCAACTGGCCTTGTTGGCTTATGTGCTAGACCAATAACAACACATTGTAAATATACCATGCGTGCCTGAATTCAGTATTTCACAATATTGCAGAGCACTTCAAGATTCACGCGCGGACGCGCAGCAAATGCCACGTAGATGAGCTAAAGGCTGTTTACATTGCCAAAACCACAGCCTAAACTTTGTAGACAGCAGGAATTTGTAACGAAACGAGTGCTAATTTGACCTCCCGCCTCTCTGTAATAATTTTTGTACTTTTTCGTGCAACTCACACAATCAAGCATAATTTCTCCACCGATATGCTGTATTTAGGAAAATTCACTTTTCAACTCCAAACTCCAAAAACTCCGATTCAAATTGCAATTTACATTGCACCAAATTTTCGGGCCTGGCCAATCCTCAGGGTAATGAATGACAAAATGTCAATTGCATAGGTACTTATTGAACTATATGTATGAAGACAACAACTAATGACACTGAGAATCTGAGAACGTTAACTTGTTGGTGTGAATATGCTTGGTGACGATTATGAAGGAAATAATTGTAGGTGATGTATGTCTCAGCAGTAACGTGTGTTTGTATTGGGGGGGAGCTTCAATTAATCTCATTGGACAGATGCAAATACAGAGGGATAAATTGTCTACCCACATTTACGACATGCCCTGGCAACAGATATACATATACAGGGGTAGAATATTACTAACCCATAATTCTTCCTTGAATTGATGGTGTGTATGTGTGTGTACGTGTGTGTCTGTGTGGGTATCTGTGGATATCTGTGTGCGCGCGTGTGTGTGTGTGTGTGCGTGTGTGTACGCAATCGCCATCGCTGTTCAACGCACTGCCACCGTCCAACGGCTAGATAGCGGGACAAGTTCCCGCATATTTGTATCTGCTCTCGCCGTTTGCGATTAGTCTCGCATCTGGAGCGTGATCGGGTAGCGTAATCTTTCTCTCTCTCTGCTGCCCCTCTGGGGCCCACGTGACCCTAGTGGTAGTAGCTCTACTGGACGGGACAGGTGCGTGTGTGTGTGGGTGTGTGTGTGTGTGTGCATTGGCTACTAATGATAGTCGGCTAAGTGCGCTCGGAGGATTATAAGGGGAGGAGAGATTGTTGATATGTTGTTTAAACTATAAGTGCATGGACATCGTTGTGCTTCGTCACATTATCACCATGTACAGATTTGAGAAATAAAGTTTGATTCTTTCTTTCTTTTATTAGAATTCGTTTACTTGAGTAATGGTACGAAAGGCCTAATCAGAGGCAACTGGCTTCGTCTCTTCGTGTGCCAATATATCCTCATTGTTAAAGAAATATAACCTTAACGCTTTGGGCCTACCCTGAAGTGACCGCAAGCCGAAATTTCCTGCATGTTGTGTGTGCGTTGTTCATTTTTCATGGCAGCAGTGATTCCACTTTAACAATTGTGACATTACTCTGCTTTTGCTTTGGCTCATTACTTAGTTACCGAAAAGGCGGCGAGGAGACAATAACTTTATTATTGCGATTAAGAGTAAAAGTGAAGCGGACATTACGAAATGATGAATGAGAATACATGTATTAAAATTGATGTACCTAATCGATTTTCTTGAGACTATCTTCAGGGAAAAATCGTCTCACAATGGAGGCTATACGGAGAAACAAACTACTTATAGGTCTATAGGATAGCGGGAAGTATACTAGGTGAGGTGTGAAAAAAACACTAAATTGGGAGAGAAGACGGAAGAAATTTGAAGAAAAGATGTGAGAGTGTTCCGACGGTGTGAGCTACTACAAAAGTAGGGTGAAATGAAGGCGTGGAAGCAGGTGAATGTTATAGTCTCAAGAAAATCGATTAGGAACATCAATTTTAATACATGTATTTTCATTCATCATTTCGGAATGTCCGCTTCACTTTTACTATTAATCGCATTAATATTGTAATGGGTAGCTGAGTGGTAGGCGCGGTGAAATCAACAAGAATTACTTTTATTCTACTTTCACGTACACACCTGAGATATAATTGTTAGTGAAAGAAGAAAATAACTGACTTTCTCTCCGGTGCACACCTGGAGGTTGAATAGTTCGTTATTATCAAAACCTCATCTTCGAGTTAGCTTTCGTTGCTATCTAATCTAATCTTTTTCATCAAAACAGAAATGCGCAGCCGCTTTTATGCAGCAGCTGCCGTACGCTTACATACGGAGATACACTAAATATACATCAGGCAAAGCTCCGTATTAGTTCCGTACTGCTTCCGTATTGGTCGGGCAGGGATTCCACACCCTCCCTTCCTACAGATAATCACGCCCTCGTGATTTTCAAAAAATTAGTGAGGAGTTACGAACACAGCGTCAACCGGAAGATGGCAAATTATATCGGAAATGATAACGTTTAGAGTAGACAGAAGAAATGAACTAATAACAAATCATAAAGTAGAAGCACACCAGGTTCACACGGTCTCACGGGGTCAAAAGGGGAAAGAACGGTCCTCCAAATAGGACCTGAAGCCACAGCACTCTTGCTGCACAACGCTGGCACAACCCGCCAGGAACATCGCAGTTCAAAAACGGAACTGAATACACTATAACTATAAGGGGCGTTGTCACACACATTGTCCCACGTTAGCTGGGTAAGCCGTGGCTCACCATGATCAGACGCCTACCAAACTAAACTGGATTCACACACTCGCATAAAGGAAGACTGAAGAGAACAGGGAGACTGAAGGAAGACAGGAAAGAAAATGCCATACCTGGAATCAGCGTTAGTAACCACGGCGGCGGCTGGAGCTACGGCGGAGAGCAAGCCAGGTTTTATCTTCATCTTGGTTGAGCCGGTCACTCAGAGTGGCTAGCTCGGCGTCAGACAAATGACCTCCCTCCTCGTCTTGAATCGTGGTCTTCACATTGTCGATAGCATCGCTTTGCGCGACGTAAAGAGTGATGGTCTAGCCAGGAAGAGTGTTGACGAAAATCTGCATCCCACCACGGAGGCGAAGTACCAAGTGAATAGTGGACTCCTGCTGAACGTTGTAGTCACTCAGGGTTCGGCCGTCTGCCACCTACGCGCCGGCAAAAATCAAACGCTGCTGGTCTTGGGGAATACCCTCCTTGTCTTGGTCAGCAGCCTGCATGTCGTCGTCCTCATCAGCTTCGCAATGTAATAGGTAGCCGATTGGTAGGCGCGGTGAAATCAACACGAATTACTTTTATTCTACTTTCAGGTACACACCTGAGATATAATCGTTCGTGAAAGAAGAAGCGGCAAAATAAATAACTTTCTCTCCGGTGCTCACCTAGAGGCTGAATCCTTATTCTTCGAGTTAGCTTTCATTGCTATCCAATCTAATCTAATCTTCTCTTCATCAAAACAGAAATGCGCAGCCGCTTATATGCAGCAGACGCCGTACGCTTACATACGGAGATACACTAAATATACATCAGGCAAAGCTCCGTATTAGTTCCGTACTGCTTCCGTATTAGTCGGGCAGGGATACTACACCCTCCCTTCCTACAGATAATCACGCCCTCGTGATTTTCAAAAAATTAGTGAGGAGTTACGAACAACAGCGTCAACCGGAAGATGGCAAATTATATCGGAAATGATAACGTTTAGAGTAGACAGAAGAAATGAACTGATAACAAATCATAAAATAGAAGTAAAAGCACACCAGGTTCACACGATCTCACGGGGTCAAAAGGGAAAGAAATGTCCTCCAAATAGGACCTGAAACCACAGCACTCTTGCTGCACGCTGGCACAACCCGCCAGGAACATCGCAGTTCAAAAACCGAACTGAATACACTATAACTATAAGGGGCGTTGTCACACACATTGTCCCACGTTAGCTGGGTAAACCGTGGCTCACCATGATCAGACGCCTACCAAACTAAACTGGATTCACACACTCGCATAAAGGAATACTGAAGAGAAAAGGGAGACTGAAGGAAGACAGGAAAGAAAATGCCATACCTGGAATCAGCGTTAGTAACCACGGCGGCGGCTGGAGCTATGGCGGAGGGCGAGCCAGGTTTTATCTTCATCTTGGTTGAGCCGGTTACTCAGAGCGGCTAGCTCGGCGTCAGACAAATAACCTCCCTCCTCGTCTTGAATCGTGGTCTTCACGTTGTCGATTGCATCCCTTTGCGCGACGTAAAGAGTGATTGTCTAGCCAGGAAGAGTGTTGACGAAAATCTGCATCCCACCACGGAGGCGAAGTACCAAGTGAAGAGTGGGCTCCTGCTTCCGACTGCGTGCCGGCGAAAATCAAACGCTGCTGGTCTTGGGGAATCCCCTCCTTGTCTTGGGCAGCAGCCTGCCTGTTGTCGCCCTCATCAGCTTCGCCATCACCACCGGTAGTATACATGTACGTAGCGGGTCGCTTGGAATCGCCATCGGAGTCTCCAGTGAGTGCCGTGCGGAGAGAAGGGTGATCTACGCTAGCACCCTGACTGTGCTGCAGGCTAATAGTAATATTAACAATCAGGGCCAAGCCCAGGAAGGCAAGAAACATGATTCTCATCTTGATTCGTCGCACGGAGCTGTAGCGGGTTGAGGCATCGGAGTCTGGGGTCGAATCACGTTGTTTTATTTAAAACTACACCGCTGCCACCAATGTAATGGGTAGCCGAGTGGTAGGCGCGGTGAAATCAACAAGAATTACTTTTATTCTACTTTCACGTACACACCTGAGATATAATTGTTAGTGAAAGAAGAAAATAACTGACTTTCTCTCCGGTGCACACCTGGAGGTTGAATAGCTCGTTATTATCAAAATCTCATCTTCGAGTTAGCTTTCGTTGCTATCTAACCTAATCTTTTTCATCAAAACAGAAATGCGCAGCCGCTTTTATGCAGCAGCTGCCGTACGCTTACATACGGAGATACACTAAATATACATCAGGCGAAGCTCCGTATTAGTTCCGTACTGCTTCCGTATTGGTCGGGCAGGGATACTACAATATTTAGTAAACGTTCGCTCTAATTCCGGAACGTCTTGGAGTGCATGATTGGGCTTTCTACTGCAGCCAACGGTGGCGGTGAAAGGTTTAACATGACTGATTGTTTAGTTGTCATCGCCCTCATCGCACCAGTTAGTGGCTAAAAACAAGTAATTCTGAGCAAATATCGTTACCAACCTTGAATAGTGACAGAGACAGTGGTAGATAGTGCCTGGGCGGAATTCACACATCTGTCAATCGCACTTTGTGGCCGTGGAGGACTTGATCCCATTCCAATACAATCAAAGTTTGTAGTATACGATGTCGTACAGATTACATTAAAGGTAGCACCTGATGTATCACTTTCTGTAAACATAATCTGGGAATCATTCCTTCGGAAGCTGAACATAGAATCCACCATATTCGTATATGTCAGCGTCTGTATCTTCTGTGAGTCCAGAGATAATGTTAAGCTCCAAGATACGTTGAGAGGAAAGTTTCCACTTGACATGCATGGTATGGTGTACGAAACACCAGAGTAGGGCAATGTCAGTGATGTAGGTGATAGTCCAGACTGAACTTGTTCAGCTGTACGAGAAAGACACACGGGTACAGCACTGAAATACATGATACAACTGACCAGGCGAAAACAGTCTTCACAGCACCTTAAAAGAGCATGCCTGAGAAAACCAGAAAATATGTGCAAGTCGATCTCTAAGATTTCTCCCAAATTTTGCAGGTAGGTTTGCTTTGGGGTGTAGATCGACATTCCAAAGCCCGCGCAAAATCTTTTGTAGTGAACTATGAAATTGGTATACCCCTCAATATTGGCCAAATATTGGCACGATTTATGGGGCTACAAACGAGCCACGGCACAACGTACAAGAACAAGCTACGAACAAAACTTCATTAAGCCAACATTACCTCACCTTAGAAGAGTTCTTGTGGCAGCAGCACTTAGCCACGCCAGCATCCCAGAAGACGAGGGCAATCACCTCAAACACTATACACTATTCAAAATTGTTTACTTCAAGCAAACCCAAAAAGGATGATGGGGGACATGTCCTCAGTGCTAGAAGAGGTGTTCTACTATCTGCCGGTGTATAGTGTTTGCTAATTGAGGACGTAGCTCGCTGTTTTATCAGCGCTTGTAATTTGGCTATTCTCAAGACGATCATTTCTGGCGTCAAGAGATGATTGCCCTCGTCTTCTGGGATGCTGGCGTGGCTAAATGCTGCTGCCCCAAGAACTCTTCTAAGGTGAGGTAATGCTGGCTTGATAGCGTTTTGTTAGTAGCTTGTTCTTGTTCTTGTACGCTGTGCCGTGTCTCGTTTGTAGACCCATAAATCGTGCCAATATTGGGCCAATGTTGAGGGGTATGCCAATTTCATGGTTCCCTTCAAAAGATTTTGCGCGGGGTTTGGTGTGTCAATCTACATCCCAAAGCAAACCTACCTGCAAAATGTTAGCGAAATCTGAGAGATCGACTTGCACATATGTTCGGGTTTTCTCATACATGCTCTCTTAGAATACCAATGCAGAACTGGGCGTGCATTGACGGTAAAACCATTCTTGTAGCATGAATGAATGTTTGCAGAAATAGTTACAGACAATGGCGTGTACAAATGGTGGTGCGAGGGCGAGACCAATCCCATGGCGACTAGAAAATGACCCTCTGAGACAAAGTTCTTTTGAAGGCAGACACCTGGATCAGTGAAAAGTCTACGAGGTTATTACCAGTAAATTCGAACAGATTTTCTTTTCGAACTCAGAGTTTCTCGCTTACGTGATCATCGGGAAGAATTCTGCTATCAATAATGCACAGGAAAGTAACTGGCGAATCTTTGCGCGAGGAAAACAGTGGGAATCACGCGTATACATCCTCTCCCACCCACTACCACTCTCCCACAGTGTGTGACACACACGCACATACACATACATACATCCTGTCCTGTCCTGTAGAGTCACTGCCGCAAAAGGGTCACGTGATCCCATCACTGGGAAACTTGAGAAGAGAGAGAGAGAGAGAGGACACGACGCTCGATGACGCTCCAGGTGCACGGGTAGTCGCATCCGCTTGCCGCATATGCACACGTGCTGGAAGGCTGAGCGCTCCTCTGCTGTTGGTCTATGCGCCACCCTTGAACAGCGATGCCTTCCCCGTCCCCGGACACCGCGAAAGCAGCGACCACACCTGTCACAATGCGCGGCACAACATCCCTCCGCCGGTGCCGACGCTCCGGTAGTTCCAGGTGGCACTGCGGCATCCACCGTTGAGGCACACACATGCCGGACCAAGCCACCGCGGCTTCTCAGCCACCGCCCACACCGCCCGCACTGACTGGCGCCCCGCTGCTCAGACACAGGCCGCGCACGCTCCTCCAGACACTTATGCCGAGCCATGTCTCCTTTCCGTGCAAAATCCCGTCCGCATACCGTACATACCACTCGGGGCGGAGGCTCAGGCACATTGTCAGGCTCTTGGTAGGTGCTGCGCCACTCCGCACGAGACTCACATGCAACATCATACCATGATGCCTCCACGCCACGGGCACGTAGATCTCGGACAGCACAGTCCTTCCATCTGCGGCGTGGGCCATGTGCTGGGCGACGCTGCAAGAAGGAGCCAAACAGTACCTGTTTTGGGATGCGGTTGTCCGGCATCCGCGCCACATGCCGCAACCACTCTAACCGCCGATGTGCAATTTTGTCTTTAATCGTCTCGGAGTCTCCCCAGCGCACCAGCAGCTCTTCGTTGGTGATGTGTTCGTCCCACATCCGGCTTCGAGAGACCCCGAGGATGGATCGGATGCACCTCATGCTGAAGGTTGAGAGCTTCTGCAGGTCATGCTGAAGGGGCGTCCAGCACTCAGAGCCATACAACAGCAGGGACAGAACGCAAGCATTGAATACGCACCGCTTGGTGTGCATCAGCAGATGTGGATTGGAGAATACAGACCTCCGAAGAGCACCGCAGGCCCTGGAGGCTTGGGCAATCCTTGCGGCGATGTCCCGGGACGAACGGCAACCGCTGTCCACTACAGAACCGAGGTATTTGAAATGCGGTACGCATTCCACCTCCGCTTGACCAAGTTGGAGGGGAGCGCGGTCAGTAAGCGTGATGCCGGGGCCAACAACTACAAACTGAGTCTTCGTTGCACTGATGGTCAAGCCGAATCCCGACGCCACCTCGTGAAGACAGCACAATGCTGCCCCCGCTCCAGACCGAGTTGTAGCGAATAAACAAGAGTCGTCAGCAAACTGGGAATCTGTTAGGCAATGGTGTTGGTCGTCACGGCGGGGTTTACGGTATAAATCGCTGCTGTATGCTGAGCGGAGCTCGAGGCCAACCCCGTCAACTCTCCTGACGCAGTGTTGCCACTGGGTCATCACGGCCCACATAAAGATAATTAAAAAGGACCGGCGCCATAGAGCACCCCTGGCGAAGACCATTGCCAATGCTGAACGGGTTTGATAATATGTTGTTAAACTGCACCGATGCTGACATGGGGTCGTGGAACGACCGGATGATGTTGATAGGCTTTTCTGGTACTCCCGCACGGCCGAGGACCTGCCACAGACACCCCCTGGGCACTGAATCATAGGCCTTCTTCAGGTCGATAAACACAAAAAATCCCTTGGCCTGATGTTCGATTGACTTTTCCATGAGCTGTCGGACGGTGAAGATCATGTCAGAGCAGCCACGCCCTCGCCGGAACCCGCACTGGGACTCAGGGAGAAATTCTTCTGCGAATACCTGCAGCCTTCTCTGAAGGACACTCGCCAAGACCTTGCCGACCACATCCAGCAACGCAATGCCCCGCCAATTGTCGCACTGCGACAAATCTCCCTTCTTTGGAATGGGGATGAGGGTAGCATCCGCCCACTCCCGCGGAACGCAGCCATCTCGCCACACATCTCCAAACAGCTCCATGAGCTTGTTGTTGAGCTCCTCGCCACCGAACTTTAGCAACTCTGGCTGTATCCTCGATGAACCAGCAGCGGTGCCATTGCGAAGTCGAGAAATGGCCTTGGAGATCTCATGCATGGTTGGTGGTTCCTCAAGGCTCGACACTACAGGTCGCTGCTCAACGCAAGCCATGATATCGGGGTTGTACGAGCTCTCTGGGTTCAGGACAGATGTGAAATGCCTCTGGAACCGCTTGCATTGATCCTCAGTCGACTGGCACAGGATTCCATTCTCGTCCTTAATGGCGGAAGTCTTGCACGGAGTTAATCCCTCACATGCAGCGTGGATAGCATGAACGCATTTCCAGACGACTGCCCCGTTGAAGCGCGCCTCTGTTGCCTCCTGTGCCTTATTCAAAATCCAAGCCTCTTTGGCATTTACAACGGCTGCGCGCGCCTGCGATCGAGCAGCCCCGAAGCTGGCCCAATACGTGTCGCCCCTCTGCTGACCGTGGGCAAGCCACTCCGCGTAACACTCATTGCGGGCGCGCAGAAGGGGCTGTATGGTTGCAGAGTTGTCATAATACCAGTCGGCCTGACGGCGTTCGCTCGGGCCCAATACATCAGCGGCTGTGGCAACCACGGTATTGCGCACATGGGTCCACTTCTCCCCAACGCTACCATCGCTGCTCCAGCAATCTCGCAATCCAGCAGATAAAGCGGCACGATACTTGTCCGCGGTGGTCACGCAGCGCGGGGGGCGACGTCCCACATCGTTGACGTCTTGTAACGTGGATGCGCAGGAATCCGATTGATCATGCTCGGCCACCGCCTTACTCCGCAGCTTGCCGACATTAAATCGGCGCCCCCGGCTCGCTCCACGTCGGGCAACCCCCACCGGGCGATGCGGGAACTCAAAGACTAGTGCTGCTTTGTATAGTCATACATACATACATACATGCACACGCGCATGACATAACAACAACAAACAAACATAATTATATCCACACTCATTTCAATACACGACCACACGCCCACACTCATGCACACATGTGCCCACGCTCTCACACATACGCAAACACTCCGCCTCACACCCACCCACACGCGCGTGCGCGCACACACACATACAAGTGCACAAACTCACACCTGCATTGAACACCTTCACACTGCCCACTGGGAGACTCAAGCACCATACATTCACACTCATCCATACATATGAAACACATGACGTCTGCTCATATTCACGCTAGCATCCACTTTGAACTCATGCTCTCTCTCCCTCTCATAGACACGATCTACACGCGAACATTCCCACAATACACCCACGTGCACACTAGTACATGTACATACTGTACCCTCCACAGAATCCTCACCTTTGCACCCAGGATACTCATTCATGCACACCACACACTTACCTACACCCACTGAACGCTCACCTACACACGAACACACCGGCACATCCACGCACACGCTTCACCACGACCACACACGTATGCATATGCATACCAAAAGCACACACACACACGCACACGCGTACACACCCAAATATGGCAAGGTAGAGACATGCTCTGCCAGCATGCATTTAGTTGCGCTGCTAAGTGACTAGTTCGTCAGTGTGAATGTGAGCAGGTATCATGTACATGTATGGATGAGTGACACTGTGAATGTATGGTGTCTGGGTCACCCAGTGTTCGACGTGAAGCTGTTCATACACACGCGTGTGTGTGTGGGAGGGGGGGGGGGGGGGGATGAGTGTGCGAGTACATTTACGTGTGTGTGTGTGTGGGGGGGGGGGGGGTGGGTGTGTGAGACTGTGTACGTTTGTGCGTGATTGTGTAGGTGTGGGTGTTGGAGAAAGTGTGGGTATATACATGTATTTGTGTGTTGCTGCTTATTGCACGCGCACGCGCGTGTGTGTGTACGTGCATGTGAGAGGGGGTGTGAGTGCAGATGCGTGGTTCCCACTGTATTCCTCACGGAATAATTCTTCAGTTACTTTCCTGTGCATATACATTTTTGTAAAAAATCATTATTCCAGTTTCAGACCAGAATAAGTGTAGCCTGATGACCTGTGAAACTCTGAGTTGACATAAATGTTCCACCTTACTTGTAAGGAAGCTGTGCCCTTCCGTTTACTTTGTATTCTATAACCAGACGATAGTTCTAACTGTTCTCCGTTGTTGTCTAGGGACTAGTCTAAAGTAACCTTGCCGTCACTAGGGGTCATTGCAATGAGGGTTCCTTCGAATTGCAGTCTTTGCATTTTTGTGTCTATAAAAAAGTCACGTCTTGAGACTATGCATTATATACATTAAACAATATCTCCCGTGGCTCACATATTCAGACCATTAGTCCTATGGTTTGTATCTGGACACACCACTATGTCTGTCGCTGGAATGCCTATGTACTCGAACAAGGAACACGATTGCTATTACATGTGAATGACTCTACAGACATCAACAGAATAGGACTTTCGGAAACGTTGCCAGGCATTTGTAGTATGTGGCTCACATTATCCGCACGTGGTTTTATATCAGCAATTGGTAGGTCACGATTTTCATGAGAACTTGAATCCTTACTTGACAGACAACATCCAGCGTACAAGAGAGATCTATCGAACCTTCCACTCACCAAACCTGAACGAAAGTACCACTCCTGCTCAACACGCAGTGTTTCGGGGAACTAACCCCTCATCAGCTGAGTTTTAGTACGCTAATGGTATGTGTCCTCCGACAGCACTGCAATATCATGACAGTAATGCTCAACGAGCCTAAACATCTTTAAAAGAGGATTTCTTGTGAGTTTTGTGACTTTGGTGTGTTGTTGTTCTATGAATTTACAGCATATGTTCTGCTTGTTTTGAATGTATGTTGTCGAGTTGGAACATAATTGTACTTTCTATGCTTACCGCTGCAAGTTGCTGTCATCTGCATTGTTTCCGACTATCTGGCTCTCTCTTCCTTTGATTATTGTTGCTAGTTGCTCGGTTGACATTTTCTCTCCCATCCTTGGTGGGTACGTCGATTGTACGTCGATTGTTTTAACGAGTTTACGGTTCACTTTTTTCAATTTCGAACGTGAGACCTCAAGGTCAAAATGGAGCATCTCACGTTGCAACATCAGATTTCACCGCGACAGAGGGCCAACTCACGGTGAAAAAAGCGATTCAACACACGTTCTTTTCTCATGTTCGAAATTTAACCACGTGAAGCATAAATTTTCTAATGTCGATCTCTTCGCCGAACTACTTTGCGTTGGGCGCCTGTTGCTAGTTTTTAGAATAATCGGATATTTCGAGCAATCCTTGCATAACGTACGATATTAGTTGAAAATGGCAATTGGCAACAATGATCCCAGGTGAGGGAAATCAGTTCTAAAATTGTTCATTTTAGACTTCTGTAAGGATAAATGGTGTACAGCTTGCTTTTATGCTACATTCCTTGCGTTTTATTGCAACCAAGAGTTCCGCTGCTCGTCTGATAATTATATTGCTTGCGTCATTATGCAACTTCCTGCTCATGAAGGAGACTTTGTGTTGCTCGGGCGCCTCGTAGTAAATCGCTCCTCTATTTCTCTTCAACTTGCATTCATCAGAAAGAAGGAACCCTGTTTGTCCTTACCTACAATGTTGAGTTGATACGTCTGTGTTGAGTTGCGATTCACTGTTCTGCAATGGTACAGTGCTAAAACTAGTCCTTTTTGTCTTCAGCATGGAGATGTGTAATTTAACGGATGCTCAGGACTATAGCCACGAAATACAATGTCATGTAATTGTAGGGGTGGGAGAGGGGGCGGCAGAGGAAACATACATTTCACCCATTTTTCCATGTTCCACTATTTCCTTGTCTCACAAAATGCAACTTACGAGTGCGCAGAGCATCCGAAACAATTGATCTGTGGTAGCACTTTCGAGGTGTGAACAGAAAAAATCGAAAAATGAGTAGGGATATGCCCTCTTACTCTTCTCTGGCTAGAACCTTGAAGTTTTTTAATATACTCCTGGTGCCTTAGTGCAACCAAGACAAGAGTGCCACAACTCGGCTGTTACATTGCTTTCGTCATACGCGACGTCATGCACCTGAAGGAAGCTCTTTTCCTCGGGTGGCTCATAGTGAGCCACTGATCTATTTCTCTTCACCTTGCATGCATCAGTAGCCATACTGTACGGTATAGAGTCAAAGCTGGACATTAGTCCACACGATGAAGAAGTCGGTTTGTACTTACCTACAATGTTGAGTTGATATGTTTCTGTTGAGTTGTAATCCACTGTTCTACAATGGTACAGTCCAGTGAATGATGTGTCCAGTATAGGATGTACTGTTGTGTTCACCGTTACAACAGTAACTCCTGAGAAGGCACCTGTCTCAGCCCACACTAGACTACCATCAGTCTTCTCTAGTCGAATGAATGATCCTGATCCACTGGTCACAATACACGTGGGTAAGTAATGGGTAACATCAGCTGTAGGTTGTCCATCACCAAATGTCACTGTGAATGCTGTTGTTGATTGTCCTGTACCAGCAGCATTCATATTGACAACTTGACCTGCATGAGCATACACAACAGTACAGTGTCACAATACTAGCTCAATACATCACTAACACTGGGACTAGGTACACTCTACTGGGAAACAATACTTCATGTGCATCTATATAACCACTGGGAAAGGAAATGAAATTTATATTATACCAGGGAGTCGTAAACTACAACGACTCCCTGCATTATACACACAAGGCAGAGAACTAGGGCTGAAAGGTGAAGTTAAGCCTAAACTCACAACTTCATGTGCAGCTATATAATCACTGGGGAAGGAAATGAAAGATACTGTATACAAAACAAAAGCAGAGAACTGGTGCTTAAACCATACCTGACTGTCGAAACGGCATTAAATATACACCCTCCCAACAAAACACACTTTCTGAGCGAGAAATTTCAGAAAAGGAATGCTACTTTATTCACCATGTCTCTCTGTTTGCTCGTGGCGAATAGTCGATGCAGGGAAGGCCATACCAAAATTGTGTGTTAGTACGTAAGTTTGTGCCTTGCACATAAGACCAGCGACATTCTCCTGGGTGGTTACCAACAGCCAGTGCATGCCGGAGTATGTGGTGTGATTTGTGTGCGTGAAATAGAAATGAAGTGGGCGTGCTTCCGCAAGAGTGACCATCGATGCCACTTCACTCTCCACAGTGACAGCGCCCAACTTCTGGCCAAGGCCCGTATACTGCAGGCCATGGAGGTTCTTAGAAACCAGCTCTGAGGGCAGCACCAGCAGTCGCAGCCACAGCAGCAGAAACAGCACCTCTGCCAGTGTTCTGACTAAACAGCAACAACAGCAGCCGGGTTCAACGTCCTCCTCCTCCCCGCCGCCACCACCACCGCCGCCACCACCACCGGCAGACTTCATCTCCACTCCACTACACAGTGGCCAAAAAGGGAGAAACTCCCACCTCTCCCCACCAGAGGCTGGAGACCTGAAGAGATCAAACGGATCTGCGCCACAACATGACCAGCATGATGCGCAGCCACCCCAGCAGGATGCCCAGTCCTCTCATGCCCAATGATGGATTCCAGACCTCTGCGACTGCTAGTGACTAATGCATTCAGCCTGAGCAACAAGATAGGTGCCCTGCAGCATGCAATCCTGCAGTATAATGTAGACGTGGCAATAGTAACAGAAACGAAGCTCTGCTCAGATAATTCCTCCCATGAGTTGACCATCCCAGGATACTCACCCCCAATAAGGAAGGATCGAGATGCCCATGGTGGCGGTGTGGCAGTGTGGGCTAGGAGTGAACTATCCATTACCCACCACGACGATATAGATTGCCGTGATCACGAGCTCTTATGGATTTCCCTGGCAATGCACTCCGGAACAAAGACTGTTCTGGGTGCGCTCTACCGGCCTGGCTCTTGTGCAGAGACAGACACCAGCCTGATGGACTACCTAGACAACACTTTGGATGATGTCCGCCGTCTTGGCAGCAATGTTATAATTGCAGGGGACTTCAACGTGCATAATTCAGCCTGGCTACAGAGTAGCAAGACTACCCGAGCCGGTGAATGCCTGGAGGAAGTCTGCGCAGCACATCATCTTGTCCAGCATGTCACCCAGCCAACCCGCGGCAACAATACTCTCGATCTTATCATCTCCGATTTCCCACACCCCGTATGCACCACAGCCTATGCACCACTTGGACGATCTGATCATGCCGTTATCATTGCCGAGTTTCTCCAACAGCATCCACGACGCGAAGATCCTGCTGTTCGACAGGTTTGGAAATACGCCCTTGCTGACTGGCACCGCCTGAGAGCCTACCTCCGCAACATAGACTGGCCCGCCAAGATCCATGGGTGTGCGGAGCAGTCCTGTCAGCGCGTAACTGATGTCATCATGCATGGAATGAAACAGTTCATACCATCCAAAGAGCTTGTGGTGCACCAATCCAACCCTGTATGGTGGACACCGGACTGTTCTAACGCCAATCATGCCAAGGAGCGGGCATGGAAGCTGTGGCGACGCAATCCCCGCAACGATAACCACAAGGTCCAGTACATCACAGCTGTTAACCACGAAGTGGAAGCGTGTCATGCAGCGCGATTAGCACATCAACGTAGAATTCGCAACAAGATTACTGCAGGTTTCCTCCGGGACAAAGAGTGGTGGTCAACCATCAAGAGCGCAGCAGGCAAGGGACGTTGCTCTGACATCCCCCTGCTGACCAACCCTGCAGGACAAGAGTTCCACTCTTCTCGTGAGAAAGCCGAGTGCTTTGCAGCACATTTTGCGAACAAGTGTAGCCTTGGCAATAACGACCTCTGTGCTGCTGACCTGCCTGACCTGCAACGACCTGCCTATGCCACGCTAAAGCACATTCACTTCCGCGCAGCAACGGTCAAACGGCACTTGGCGAACTTGGCTGTATCAAAAGCAACTGGACCGGATGGCATCTCTGCTCGTGTGCTCAAGATGTGCTCATCTGAACTTGCAGACCCACTGGCAAAGCTCTTCGCCCTCTGCTTCTTAGCCGGTGTGCAACCTGGGGCATGGAAACTTGCCCATGTAGTCCCAGTCCACAAACGGTCCTCCAGATCTTTGGCATCGAACTACCGACCAATATCACTGCTAACGATCATGTCGAAAGTCATGGAGGGCATTGTAAACACGCAACTGGTTAACTACCTAGAGAAGCATGAGGTGTTGCCAAACAGCCAGTTTGGATTCCGACGTGGTAGAGGAACCGCAGATATCTTAACGGCTCTCCAACATGAATGGGTCCACACCATAAGTACTGGCGGTTGTGTCCAGGTCCTCGCCGTGGATATTGCCGGTGCGTTTGACCGGGTATCGCACACAGGAGTGCTGTACAAAGCAAAGCAGGCCGGCGTCGACGGACGCCTGCTTGTATGGCTACAGGACTACCTCACCAACCGAAACATCCGCGTTGTGGTTGGAGGCCAGACGTCAGATGCTCAACCCATCCAGGCTGGTGTCCCCCAAGGCAGCATCCTAGGACCCAGCCTCTTCCTTCTATACACCTGTGACATTGAACAATGTTTAACTCCAGGGACGCAGCTGAGCAGCTTTGCAGACGACACCACACTCTACAGCTTAGTACAGCCAACTGACGATCTCCAACAGTCCACCGCCTCCCTCCAAGGGTCCCTCAACAGTCTTGAGGAGTGGGGCCGCAAGTGGCGTATCTGTTTTGAGCCAGCCAAGACACAGCGCATGACTCTACATCGCAAGCACGTTCCCCCCTGCACTCCACCAGTCACCTTTGGAGGTGAAGCACTCCAGGAGACAGATACCCTGAAGCTGCTGGGAGTCATGCTCGACCCTACTCTCTCCTACAGAGCGCACACTCGCAGTGTTGCACTGCGCGCCTCCCAAAGGCTGGGTTTCCTACGAAAGGCAGCACCCATCCTGGACGACCATGGTCGAGTGACGGTCTACAAGGGATTCGTGCGACCCCTACTTGAATATGCCCCACTGGCCTGGTCGAGCGCAGCCGCAACTAACATGGCCCAGCTGGACAAGGTTCAGCAACGTGCCCTGCATTTCCTGGGACCTGGAACCATCCTCCAAAGTCTTCAGCTTCGTCGGATGGTGGCAGCCCTGTCATACTTGTTCAAGCTGCACTACATTCCAGGGCCTCCCCAGGTAAAGGCCATGCTGCCACCAACCAAGCCCCCTGCCGTAGCTAGCATGTGCACACGGCAAAAACGTCAGACGCACCATGCCTTTCAGCTGAAGTGGACACCCCCTCGCACAGCCCCTGACTACCTCCTGCGATCCTTCCCCTTCTTCGCCATCACACCCTGGAACAACCTGCCTGCGGACCTCCTGCTTCACGAGCCTCATTCAAGACGCCTCCAAACCTTCAAGGTCAACGTATGTAAGGATCTAATCCGAAAGAGATGGCTGTGGTCCACACAGTACCTGTGACGATGATATTGAGATTTGAGACCCATTTAGTATTTACCTCTCTACTACTACTTGCTTGTTATGATTATTGTTCTCTCTCTTCATTTTCCCTTCTGGTTTAGTCATTACACGTATTTATATTATTTGGTGCAATACTAGCGCCCCTTTCTCGCACCAAATTATTATTTTTGCTACCTGACCATGCAACCCCCCTTTTTTTCGATGCCAGGTTGCAACGCTAACGCCGAGACCCCTGGTCGGTCGAGTTGCTCCCTGTACATCGGCACGTCGTCCCTACATCCCCTGTGTCCTGTCTTGTGTTTGTCTCCACATGTCTCTTTGTAGGGCTGTGTTCCCAATAAAAAAAAATAAAAAAAAAAAAAAATGAAAAAACCGAAAAGTAGGGATTCACTGGCCAGAAAAGCCATTTTATAGCTCTGTGGTGTAGACCAGGCTGAATAGTGGCGGTCAATTCTTCAGTCCTGCAAGCTGTTGAGTGGTGCAATCCCAGCACACGCTGCTACGGCTTCTGCTGTAGCATCGCTATCATCACCTCCGGCGATGGGCGTCCAATGTTCCAATGGTGTGCGCGCGTGTGAGCGTATGTTTGAAGCGCGCGACCATTGTGTTTTCTATTTTCATTTCCACTCCGCCAGAACTATCCCGGTCCACTGACTTATCGTCTGCCCCTAACGTTTGGATGTGATTTTCCATTTCACTGTTCCCTCCTTGCGATCCGCTCCTTGAAGTGTTTTCGAACCACGATTTGTCTGATCATCACGACTTAGTCTACTGTAACAGCTGATTGTGCTGTGTGAAAATCTCTGTTTTGACTGGAATGAGCGCTCTTCTAAAAGTTGAGGACCCTACTCCTTATTTAAAAGAGTCATTGTCTGTAACGAGCAAATGTCAATTATTCCTTGAATGGATTTCATTATTCCTTGGATGGATTTTATTATTCCTTGGATGGATTTCATTCATCCTTGAATATTGTGCAAAATCAACACGTCGACTAAAATACGCACGGAGAGAAAGTATAAGAACAAGGGGCCAATGCTGCTCACAACAATTTAGCCAAGAAACACGAACAATGTTCGCACAGCAATTCAAGTTACCTGGTAATGTTTAGCCATCTGCCCTTTGACTGGCAACTAGATGAGTCCCTGGAGCGAATCGATCAATTCAGCCTTTCCAATAGCGGACATTACGAATGCCATTTTTAAGGGCATGTAGCAGTGACATTACGTCCTAATATTTGGGGTAGACCATCACCGTGGTCTGCTACAACATGTTCTCAAGCGCCAACAAGTTGTCGTGAATAAGGTTATCCACTAAAATTCACTCTAGGAAATAGTCAAATTTCGATTTCTCCAATAGCGATGCAGTGGTCGAATCCATTAGAGCGGTAGGAAAGCACACACGGATTGCCTCCATATGCCTTGTCGCTATGCTAGCAGCACTGAGACATCGTGGAAATAATCCCTACTCTCGTAGAATCTCTTATTTAGCCGCGAAAAAGCTTCACCTTCTGAACAGCAGCTCAACATGATAGAAGAAGAAAGAAGAACTGGTCCACAACAAATCATGAAGGACTGCAACAGTATCGAAAGTAGACCCGGAAATTTCTAGTGTACTGGCCAGCCATGGTGACATGTTGCCATGTTGTTGCATTGGCTGACTGAATGTGATCTCGTTACATAGGTGAACAATTGGGACGCCACGGGTGCAGTGGTATGGCTCACCTGGAAGAGACAAGGGCGTTTCGACTCCCTAGGTTCGGTCAGCCAAATAGGTCTTAAACCAGGCGAGAACCTCGTCTTCAAAGCCATAGTCAAATAGTTCAGAGCCTAGGAGTGTGTGATCCACACAGTTGAGCACCTTACATATTCTATCTGCAAAGGTCATGAATTTCTTGTAGATATTGTGAGCTATTCTTCCACAGTACTGTGCGCTACTTTATCACCTATTTGAAGTTCTTAAAAGAACCGGAAGTTTGTGCTCCTTGTTGTTTATAAAATAGTTCTTTTGAAGTCTCTTGCACAACCTAGTGAATCAGTCAAAGCATTAAGGCAACACTTCCGCGCTATATTCTGTGATCCTGCTCTGGAGTCATCTAGGATCTTACGGACAGAGGACGACCTTAAAAACCCTATAAAGAAGACAGAGGTACATGCCGCAGCTAAGCGCTTGAACAGATAGACCAGATGGGATACCTGCTGAACTTATGAAATATGGAACACCAGCACTGTTCTCAAACATTGCCACTACCGTAAAATCCAGCCAGAGCTCCCATCCCATACTTCTTGTCAGGGACGTGATTGATTGTATCCTCGTATGACTCTGTCACAGTCTGTAATGCCGTACTGTACTGCAGACG